GATCCGCGCATACAGCTTCTGGTGGGGGGGGTTCACCTGTGCCTTATACCCAGCTCTCCCCAAGCCCTTCAGCTCTGCAAGATGGAGCCCAAGACGAGGAGGCGCCTCTCCCACCAGCGCTGTGAGGGGTCAGGAGGCGTGCGTTTCTAAAAGCAGCTTTTCTTTCTCCACCCGTGTCCCCCCACCCAGGTGCACGATACCACGCCATGGAGGAGCGTGTCAACCTCATGAACATGATGAAGCTCAGTATTAAAACCCTGATCCAGTCGGCCCTGAGCCTGGGCCGGACCCTGGACTCGGACTTCCCGCCCTTGCAGCAGTTCTTCGTGGTGCTGGAGCACTGCCTCAAGCACGGCCTGAAAGGTGGGCGCCTGCTGCCACGCTGAGGAGAGCCAGATCAACGGGCCTGTGTCGCGTCTTGCTGTGTCTCCAGTTTGACTTCTGTATGATATTAATCTTAATCGCCTACGCTGTTTGGTGCTAATCGTTATTACAGATATAACTATGTGGTTACCTTCTCATATACCCTGTATTTTGGGCCTCCTAAACTGTCAAGGTATTTTTAATGCCCTTTTTTCGTTGATATATTAGGAGCTGGTAAGACAAAATATTGACTAAAATTTGTAATTCTGGAGTTGGAGGCCTGTTACTTTTCCTCACAAACTTCTCTGTATATTCCCTGTAGTGAAGAAGACCTTTATTGGACAGAACAAATCGTTTTTTGGTCCTTTGGAGCTAGTGGAAAAACTTTGTCCTGAAGCATCAGATATAGCAACTAGTGTTAAGAATCTGCCAGAGCTGAAGTAAGTTGATAGGGATGATGCATTTCACTTGTACTGCTGGGAAAAATAATCCTTCGTGTTGTTTCTCGCCTTCCTTAATGAGATATTGTTCTCAAAGATAAAAATCAGGTATGTAGTAGGCGTTGACTTCTCCAAGAGACAAGGAGGATATCACAAAATACCCAGTGCTTCTCATTTAAACCATGCTGTCAGATTAAAAACAGCATTTGGAAGCTTCTATAACCTTGCTAAAAATAAGCATAAAGTCTTCATAGATATTTTCTTTCCTCTTCTTTCCCTTGCTTTTATGACTTCTTGTCACTTTGTGCATGTGCTAGAGGTATTTAATTTGGGTAATTCAGGATGATGGAAGAAGACTAGTTTTAATGCTAGGATGCCTTGCTATTTGAGTTATGGTGGTAGCTGAAAATGTGTCTGTCTTTGCAAGTTAGGAACACTTTACAATATATTTTCCCTTTGCTGAAGCAATGGGATATACTTAAATGCTTCTGTGTTCTGGAGGTAACACTTCATTTACCCAGGGATTTTTTGTTTTTGTGGGGGGGGGGGGGGGAAGAGTAGTAAGTAACAACCATTTATAAAGGGAGAATTTTGAATTGCACAAATCTACCTAATAAAACACTTTGTTTTTACCAAAACTTTTCATTTTAGGACTGCTGTGGGAAGAGGAAGGGCTTGGCTTTATCTAGCACTCATGCAAAAGAAACTGGCAGACTATCTCAAAGTACTCTTGGACCACAAGCATCTATTAAGGTAAGAGTACAGACATGTGTAGATTATGTTCATTGGATCAGTGAAACCTTGCATTGCTATAGTAAGAGGTCATTAATTGACCAGTTCAACTTTAAGCTTGTTCTTGCAACCTGCAGAGGAGCAAGTTGTTCGTTGTTTTTACAGTGAACCTGCAGAGGAGCAAGTAGAGTATTTTCTGTGAGAGTTCTGCATCTTTTACCTTGTGCAATAAATTAGCGAGAAAGGGCTGATCAGTTGAGCTTTATAAGGGCTACATTACTGTTTATATGATTTAATTGATGGAAGCACCATTATAATTGTTTGATGTGCCGTGATGCCTTATAATATTTCTTCTAGTGAATTTTATGAACCTGATGCATTGATGATGGAGGAGGAAGGAGCAGTCATTGTGGGTCTGCTAGTTGGACTGAATGTTATTGATGCAAACCTTTGCTTGAAAGGAGAAGACTTGGATTCCCAGGTGAAGATTAAAACTTAAATAAGATCAGTCAGTATAAGATCCTAGTAAAACTAAGCACATCCATAAATACTTTACTGAGATGAGTCCAGAATTCTGTCCAGAATGTCCTGTGTTGAAGCTTGTCATGTTTCCCATGTTGAATAAAAAAAAAAGTGCATAAGTATCCATCTCTTTAAGTAGCAGCTTGTGGAAATGCTATCAAAACTGATAACTGCTAGGAAACCGAACACACCGAGTATGGTTATATTGATGCTTTTATGACAAACGCTAGCTTGCATGTTTGCTTCAGCTAGGAAGAATATAAGTATTATCTGTTTCTCTAAACTTAAACTTCAGATTTTTACCTTTTTCCAAATATAAAGTAATGCCTGCTGCTATGCAGAATTCCACTGTGAAGGTGTGTTAATATCTTAAATATATTTTTTTTCAGGTTGGAGTGATTGATTTTTCCTTGTACCTTAAGGAAACACAGGACAGTGATGGCAAACAGTATGTACGGTGAATTAATGATTCTAAATTGTTATGTTTTTTGTAGAACAGACTTGTCAGACTGTCTGTGGGAGCACATGAGTGCTAGAGGTCTCAAACTCTTTTAATAATAAAAAAGAGAATCCAAAATGTATTTTGATAGCTAAACAAAAGTACTAACTTTCAAAGGTTGAGCCCACGATAGTTTTAACAACTATACAGTGTGGAGAGTTTGTGTCTTGAGCTGGGACCAAGTTAAAAGCACCCAAAATTTTAGATTGGGTTTTTATTTGGTTTTAGGAGACATGATCTGCCAGGTCACCCACTACTAAATCACTGCTTTGTTTCTAAGCACTGTTTCAGAAACACTCTCAATTAAGTAGCTGTCTTTGTGGGAGAGATCAGTTATGGAGGAAAAAAAAAGTAATGTTAGGTGAATTAGAGACTGCAACTGTTAGCATCACTGTATCTAGAATACCTGTACTGCTGCTTCATCTCCCTAGTGCTTCCAATCTAGATCAGGCACAAGTGTTTTTATAAGAAAAGGAGAAAATATTTCAACCCTGTTAGTAAGTCTATGCTGAAAACCCTAGTACAAACCAACACTTTAGGATGAAGGAGTTTCTTCTCAATCAATAAATTCTCACTTTACAACTAGAGATGGAGGGATTACAGCTGTCCTCGACCAGAAGCATTATGTGGAAGAGCTTAACCGACATCTAAGGTGGGATTTTCATCTACTCTAATGTACAAACACTTGTCCTGTTTAGCTTTTCCAGTATGGCTTTGAATATCTCTGCTGTCAGTCTTGTAGATTTTGTCTGATATTGAAATGCCTTTTCTGTAACCTTACTCTTCTGATGGCATATGCAATGCAGAAAACAAGTCTGTGTAATAACAGTTTACTTTTTTGAGACTTCTAAGTGATTAACAGAAGATTTTGGAGCTATTACAAGCGCATCTGGAAACTCATTCTTTAGAGGGAGAGACTCTGTTCTTCCCTCATAGGTTGCTCAGTGCGAGGAGCGGGCCTCACTTACCCTCTTGCACATGAGAGGTGTTAGGAGTGCAAAAGCTAAGCCAGAACAGGGCTGCCAACTAATACAGTGGGCTGCCAAC